CCCTGGGAGGCGTTTTTTATCTCCAATGAGTTGCAACACAGATGAGGAATGACATAAGTCCTTTTCCTCTGCATTCTTAACCCAGGCCACTTTTCTTTTTTAAAACCAGGGACTGTCTTTAGCAGTACAAGCAGGTATCTCTGGAGCTTCCGAAAATACAACCCGATGAATACCCTCAACCTGCCCTTTCGCAAGAACAAATGCATTTTTGACATGTATATTTCTGGCCAGTTTTACGGGCTTTGCTGCCTGGAGAAATATGCACTTGTAAACGTGGAGAATTGCAAATGGAAGGGGCTGCCTTTTAAGTTCCACTTTTGAAATCTTCCTTCAAGGGGCCGTGAATATTAGCCAGTGGTTAAACGAGTCTTGTTTTGTATGTAGAAGGTTTCAGGTTAAATCTCCAGCCGTAGGAACCTGCAGCACTTCGAAAAGTTATTTTTGTGAACTACAGTTTCTGGAACTCCCTAGTCTAAGCCAGCATGGTTAGGATTTTGATAGTTTAATTTTTTAAAATAAGTTTTTCACGCTCTGCCTTGGGTTTTGAGACCCTGCAATGTTGCTGCCGGTCAGAGAAGACAATACTGGCCTAAGTGAGACGCTTTATCTGGTACTGTATAATGTACTTGTCCTGGGGTGGGGGAAACAGCAGTTCTCTTCACCTGTTCCGTGCTGTTGGCAGCCAGGTTTCGGCACGTTTTCTGTCCTCTGTGGAGAGAGAATACAGGTGGTGGAGAGAATACACGCACAGACATACATTAGAACCCAGGAAGGGACATGACACATTGACCTCTGCCCTGTACTGTATTTATTTTGCTTATGGAAAACTTCTGGATGCATTTCATGTTCTGTGTCATTTTCACATATCTCACCAAGCAGGGCATTTTTAATAAAACCATAACAGATTCCCTCCTGGCTAACGCCTGCTTAACGCCTCCCCCCCCCGATGAAAGGTGTCCCATCTGTTTTGCAGACACCCTCTCGGACCTGTGTGGGCTATGAGTTTGCCGGCTTTAAAGACATTGAGACAAGCTGTCACCAGAGGCTTCTCTGCTTAAGGTTAATGATCCTGCGTGAGCACATGGAACGAGCATGTAATTTGCAAGTGCTGACTGCCGTTGCTTTGGCATTCTGTCCGTAATAAAAAGGCGTTGGCTTTGTGTTAAAAGCAGGACAGGACAAAAACAAAAGGAGATGTTCTGCGGATGGCTCTATACTGTTAAATAGTTGTAGATTTGGGGTAGATGGATGTTCTTGTTGAAACCCCCGGCCGTGTGTTCTGTGACGCAGTTTCCTAGTCTTGGGATAACCCCAATGCCAGGCATCCAAGCACTATTTTTAGAGCCAGTCAGAGCACAGAGGTAGAGCATCCTTCTCTTCTTCTGTTGTTACATGCTGTCAAGTTGGAACGGATTTATAGTGACCCTAACAGGGTTTTCAGTATATTTAAGGAGTGGTTTTACCAGTTCCGCTCCCCCCAGTCAGTTTTCATGGCTTGATAGTGATTCGAACCCTCCAGGGATTTGAACCCTCTTCTCCAGAGTCTGTCATTCTATCTGCTACACTACACTTGGACACCCCATCTTTTCTTTTCTGCACCCCTCTCCAGAGTCATAGTCTGTCATTCTATCCGCTACACTACACTTGAACACCCCATCTTTTCTTTTCTGCACCCTTGCAAAAGCCTAAGGATTCCTCTTCCTGCCATGCTAATGTCAGAATGGTGGGACAATTGGCAAGATTTGTCCATAATGCTGTGCTACACCTTGGGGACGCTTGGTGGGTACTGAGAAGGTATCCACGCCGCATTGGCTGTTGGTCGAATTCTCTGCTTGAGATTCGATGCATTTCTCTGAACTGCAGCAAAGCATCCTACGTATTTAATCAAATTGGGGCTGCCAGAATTCCATAGGATGGGCCCATGACAATTGAACCAGGATCAAGCAGCTTTAACTGTGTAGTATGGATATGCTTTTGCTGGTTTCTGAAGCTTAGGTCATCCCCTCTTTGAGTCTTGAAGCTGCGACCTTCCTGGAGAACAAGTTTTGGCTAGCTATCAGGATCGATGAAGATTTGTTGACAGTATGATTCCCCTTCCTGAAATGAAGATGGGAGAGCCCAACTCATTTTTTACAGGCTAAAACTCACTTATAGCGCATGCTCGGAGAGAGTGTCATCCTGTTCGGAGAAGCTTCCCCTTGAGCCCCATCTGTCCTGGTGTGTTCTCTCAATTGGAAAAGACAAACGAAACACACCAACTCAGCCGGAAGCCCGCTTAGCAGCAGGCTGGTTCACAGTGCACTCTAGTTTGTGTTCCCTTTAAAATAAATCCCACTGCAGAAACTTTATTCCCTGGTGGTCTCCAAGGTCTTTGTGAGGATTCTTTCCTAGGTATTTGGGGGATTCAACTTGGGTTTTCCTCCTTACGCAAACCCTACGTCCTACTGAAGAGTCACGGTCTATTTCCCATCTGCGGGACCCTCTGTTTGGTGCACAGTAAGGCTGTGTTGGCCCTCCAACAAGTGTCCCTCACTGCCTTTAGCTTTTTTGAGTTGCAGGACAGTTACCTGTACCAAAAGGTGCGTGGTTCTTGACACTTTTCTGGAGGTGCCTTGATTCTCCCATACTTTGACATTGATGGTGCTGTAAATGAGATCCTGGTTCTTCTGCCCTGTGCTGAAAAGTCCAGGACTGGAAACTAAAGGTGACCTTGCTCTCTCTCTCTCTGTGTGTGTTTGTGTGTGTATGTGTGTGTGAAGGAAAGCGACCCATTTGCGTTGGCAGCGGGGCACCGTGCCAGGTAAACATTAGTCTGTTCAAGCTAGGTACGAAATTAAGTTATACTCTTGTTTGCACGCTTGTGCCAGGGGTTTTGCTTTTGAACTTGGCCGATTTCTTCTCCAAACAAGAGCTTGGCAGCCCAGCGTTTCCATTTGCGAGCTGCTTCAGATGAAGGGAGTTATAATAACCACCTTGTGTGGCGGTGATCTCAAGCAGATGACATTATTTGGGTAATAATAAATGAGCAAAGGTAAACACGGTTGAATTAGCTCTTTCGGGCCCGAGAGTTGAGTGAGGTGCTGCTGAAAACAGATTGTCGTCCTAGGTTACAGGAATTCAGCTGCATTTGCTTTTCCTCTGGAGTTGTTTAAAACCACAAATCATGAATTTATATTACTAGCCGTGTTTAGCAGGTGGGTGAATGGACTTTGGGAGCCAGCCTTTATTTATTTATTTAAAAATAAACCTGCACGGATGATTTTTCATTCTCATTCCCAAGTGGAAAAAGCATTTATGTAGCATTTATGATCTCATTTATATCGCTCTCCTTTCCCCAGAGATGCGAAGCGTTCTGTGGGCTTCTCTCCGTGTTCTTCTCATGACCACCCTGGGAGAGAGAGGAAGCTGAGGGTCACCTGAAGGACGTTGTGGAATGAATAACTACTGTAGGCTGAGGCGGTTGTAGCGTTGGACTACATCTTGGGAGACCTGGTTTCAGATCTCCGCTTGGCTGTGAAAGGCACTGTGTTTCTAGAAATGTTGGATAGCTCAGTGGTCTAGAGCAGTGGTCCCCAATCTTGGCCCTCCAGATGTTCTTGGACTACAACTCCCAGAAGCTTTCATCACCACCTCTGCTGGCCAGGATTTCTGGGAGTTGAAGTCCAAGAACATCTGGAGGCCCAAGGTTGGGGACCACTGGTTTAGAGGCTGCAGAGCCAGAAGTTCAGCCCAAGGTTGGGGACCACCGGTTTAGAGGCTGCAGAGCCAGAAGTTCGGAGTTCAGTTCCCTACTGTGCCTTCTTCACAAGGGCTAGACTTGATGATCCATAGAGTCCCTTCCAGCTGTGCAGTTTTAAGATAATAATTATTAGAACTGCTGGGATAGCTCAGTGGTTTAGAGTCCCTTCCATCTGTGCAGTTCTAAGATAATAATTATTGGAACTGCTGGGATAGCTCAGTGGTTGGGAGTTGGATTCCCTGCTGTGCCTCCTTGACAGAAGCGTTGGGAGTTGGATTCCCTGCTGTGCCTCCGTGAGAGAAACTGATGATTCACAGAGTCCCTTTCAGCTCTGCAGTTCTTAAGGTGATGGTAATGATAATGAGCTTGGAACACAAACACACACAGACCTTGTAACACAAGCTGTTGTTTCTTACGACTTACGTGCACCTAAGAGTGGTCATTCTGTATATAGTAATAATGTCAAAAGCAAAGTGTTAACTTTCAGATGTTGAAGGACTTCAACTCCCAACAGCCTTAGCTAGTACAGTTGGTAGTTAGGATGGCTGGGAGCTGTGGACCATCCTGGTCTAGAAGGACAGAGTGATGACGTAGCTCTGGATCACTGGAGCAGTTCTGGCTGTGCTTCCCTCATGCCCTTCATTTGACAATTAGAAGGACAGGATGAGTGGTGTAGAGCAGTGGTGTCCCAACCTTGGGTCACCCACTGGATGTTCTTGGGCTGATACTCCCAGAAGCCTTCACCACTAGATTTCTGGGCGTTGTAGTCCATGAACATCTGAGGACCCAAGGCTGAGAAACATCGCTGTAGAGGATGCAGGATTTCCAGAGTTGAAACCTCTGCACCTTTTTCTTCTGACGCGAGGGCTGTCCTCCTGGTAGCAAGAGACAGAAGTGCACTTTCTCAGCAACGATATTATAACGAACTATTCTCTTTGTTGTGTCGTGTATGTTGATGTGGCTTTCCCTGTCAAAACTCGTCTTGGTCAACTGAATACGATATTCTGTACTCCTTGTGTTTTAGGTTTATCCTTGAGGGTAGCTGCACCCTACTGAGTTTGCTCCTGTATCATGTTGGTTTCAGTTGTGTCCTGTTGTGTCTGTTCACTTTAAACGGGGTTGTTGACGGTTTCTCTGAAACCCTGGGATAATGCATCAAGATGGGGGGAAACGAAAGAGTGTTTCTGACAGATGCACCTTCTAGATTCAATCGGAAAAACTCCTGGTTTACTTCTCTCCTTCTCTACCCCCAATCCTTTAGGGTGACTCCGTAATCACCATAGTGCTTACTGAGGATGACCAGGTGGGAGGCGATGATGTAGTGTTCTACCTCGTGTTTACTGGCTCTGCCGTTCAACACTGTACCAGCACAAGGAAACGTGATCCGGTGACACTGGAGACCATCGTGCCTGGTAAGTTTGTTAATAAAAATACGAAAAATCCATCTTTCCCTATTTTGGGTCCATGTACAGTATCTTAACTAGGCTTGATAGGCAATCAACACGTTGGCTCACCTCTGATCTTGCCTATTATATGCTGATCTTCTGGGGCTCAGCAGGGCTGGGTATTATGGGTTTCTTCTCCCTTCTTTGCTGAGTTGGGGTGAGGTTTATTTTTGTACTGCTTGGCTTTGGAACGCTGTTGACGGTGCCAACCTGAACATGCTGATTGTGTCTTTAGTTTGGAAGCCTAGTAGGGCCAGCTCTAGTTGGATGGGGAAGCCCCCAAGGACCTCCAGGTCAACCTAGGAAAGAAACCTCAGATAACCACTGCCATTCACTGTTTACATTGTTGGACTAGATGGTCGGACCCAGTATAAGAGAGTTTTCTCAGTTTCAAGCTTCTGGAAATGTCCTTGTTCTCAGTTTGGAGAAAGGCAGAGAACAGAAAAATCCCTTCCTCCATAGCAACTGCATCTCAATCTAAAGATGAAGTTGGGTGCTTTCGTTTAGTCGTGTCCGACTCTTCATGACCCCATGGACCAGAGCATGCGAGGCCCTCCTATCTTCCACTGCATCCTGCAGTTATGTCAATTTCATGTTGGTCGCTTTGATGACACTATCCAACATTGTCGTCCCCTTCTCCTCTTGCCGTCACACTTTCCTAACATCAAGCTCTTTTCCAAGGAGTCTTCTCTTCTTATGGGATGGCCAAAATATTGGAGCCTCAGCTTCAGGATCTGTCCTTCCAGGGAACACTCAGGGTTGATTTCCTTTAGAATTGATAGGTTTGTTCTCCTTGCAGTCCAGGGGACTCTCAAGAGCCTCCTCCAGCACCACAATTCAAAAGCATCAATTCTTCGGCGGTCAGCTTTCTTGATGGTCCAGCTCTCACTACCATACATCACGACACGAAAAACCACAGCTTTGACTATTCGGACATTTGTTGGCAAGGTGATGTCTCTGCTTTTTAAGATGCTGTTGAGGTTTGTCATCGCTTTCCTCCCAAGAAGCAGGCGTCTTTTAATTTCGTTAAATCTAAAGAGCTTATTAAGTTCATCACCTTGGGTGCTTACGCATGATCGTATTCCGGCAGTACAGAGAGAGCAGCATGGGCTTCCAGTTGATTTTGTAGACTTAGAGTTGCTGTCGCTGACCTTTGGAAAAAAACAACAACAACCCTTGTGGCTGAGTATGTCAGAGATGTCGTCCCCTCCTGCGACTCTTCTTGGCCGCTTACTGTCAGAGATGGAGAGAAGATGGACTTGAACCTCCAGGCAGATTGATGGGTAAATTGTCCTTGATGGGCAAGAGTGTAATTGGGCTACTGAGCAGAGTCTGGAGAAACTGGGAGCTACGTTTTGATACAGAAGCAAAATCCCAAGACAAAGCACATGCCCGACAGGCATCACGTGTTAGCTGACCCTAGGGTGGTAGAAGATCCTGGAAGCCTGTGAGATATCTACCATGTCTAATGCCTTGGAATTGGTGGGCTCTCCTTATAGAGCTTGCTGCTCAGAAAGGCCGTCCTATTTTGAGTGAGTTTTGGAGGAAGAGTGAGATGAGCACGGACTGTGGATTTGAGATGACTTCTCTGCGGTGTCCCATTTCTCGATGAAATTCATTTTCTTTGGCAGCCTCGCATCGGGCAGTCCCTGAAAATTTGGACCAATTGATTTTGATGAACTTAATAAGCTCTTTGGATTTAACGAGAGAAACGGTCTTTGAAAGGGAGCGTTCTGTTCCCAAGAGTGGGAAGTGAGCGTCTAAGAATAATAATATGTCCCAAGTCCAAGAAGGATCGTGGCTGCTGGCCTTTGAGCTCCCGTTTGCGTCATATGTTTGCATAGGTTGTGAATGGAGAAAGCCTTAATTTGGTAAATGGAGGCTTGTGGTTTGGTGGTCACGGATAATGCTTATGCTACCATCCCGTGCCCAACTTCTAGGATTATCCCTCGTGGCCCAGCTTGCTTCTTTCCTCCCTCACAACTCCCCACCAAATAGATGTCATCAGGTGCCTGAATTGTATATTGTAGCCGTTTCCTTGGATATAATTGCAGTGACTCAGTGCCAGCGTTATTTAACTGCGACAAGATTAATAACGAGTGAGAGATGGGTTGTAACTGAGACAGGGCCCTTGTTTATACATTGGAAGACTTGGGTTACGGGGAAAAGTCCAGCACATTGATGGGGGGTGGGGGGTGGAAGAGAGAGAGAGAGAGAAGGGAAAAACTGAACAGAATGGCTCGGGGACAGAATCTTAATGAAGGAATATCGACGAGTGTAGGTACATCGTCGTTGTTGCTGTGTGTTGCTAAGTCAGAATTGACTTATGGCAACCCTAATGGGGCTTTCAAGGTAAGTGAGATATTTAAGGAGTTGCTTTACCAGTTCCACACCCGCAGTGAGTTTGCATGGGTTGAGCGGGGATTTGAACTCAGGCGTTCTGAGTCATTCTGGCCTTGGCCTCCACGTCACCCTAAGCGTTGAGCACCTCGGCCTCCATGCACAACTGAATCCTGCTGCAATCAGCCAATGTGCCTGATCGCTGCAGGCAATCTCTTCTTCAACAGACTGTCCCAACGCACTTTTCACTGGGGTCTCCTGGCTAAACTTCTGAGGAGTCTCTTGAGTTGTTTGGAGATCACTTTGAAAAACCTCTATTGGGTTATGGGAAAGCTTGTGAAATGTCACTGGCTCCGCCGCCGCCACTCTTTGTCAAGAGATATTTAAAACTTGGGTGGCCTAGAATGCACAGAGAACAATACAGTGGTGCCTTGCTTTACGATTGCCCAGCATTACGACGAATCCGCGATCGCAAAATGATGGTATGAATGGGGGAATTTCGCTTTGCGATGATCGGTTCCCTGCTTTGGGAACCGATTCTTCGCAAAACGATGATTTTTCAACAGCTGATCGGTGGTTTCAAAATGGCCACCGGGTAAATAAAATGGCTCCCCGCTGTGTTTAGGGATGGATTCCTCGCTATACAGGCAGTGAAAATGGCTGCCGTATGGAGGGTCTTCGCTGGACGGCGAGTTTTAAGCCCATTGGAACACACTGAAAGGCTTTCAGTGCATTTTCAATGGGCTTTTTATTTTCGCTTTACGATGTTTTCACTTAACAGCGATTTTCCTGGAACGGATTATCGCCTTTAAGCGAGGCACCACTGTATGGTGGTGCCTCCTTGGGTTGGCCTGGGAGGGGCGTCTATGGAGTGGGCTGTGTGTGGACATGGTCCCAAATGGTGCATGCTCTCCACCCCCTCATTTTAGTCGCACAAATTTCCCCACGTTGGCCAGGCTTAAACATTATATGAGTATAACCAGATCTTGGCACCTGATTTTTTTTTTAAAAAAATGCCCTGCCTTTGTTGCCTGTCTCTTTTCTGAAGAAAATTATTTCAAAGTAACTCATTAATGTTTCTCATTACATCAAGAGGCTTTTCTTTAGTGACTGTCTGTCTAGGAGAAGTTTTAAAACGGGACGGTTTATACTTTTGTGGCCCTTAAATCGGTTTCAGTAATGCTTTTACTTCACATTTTTAATATAATGTTTATTTAATTCTTTGTAACTATTTGAATAATTTACTGTCTTTATTTTTTAATATTTTTTTAATGATGTAAGCCCCCTTCGGTCCTTTTTTTCCGGAGAAAGGTAGGGTTAAAATATTTTGAATGAATGAATGAATGAATGAATGAATGAATGAATGAATGAATGAATGAATGAATGAATGAATGAATGAATGAATGAATTTAAAAGGGAGTTCTAGGTCATTTTTTAAAAAATCACTTAAGTACGGAACAAAAGCAAACACTTTGGAAAACTGAGTGAAATCACTGCTGAAAAGTAATGTTTAGCAGTAACAAGTAAGTGTCATTTGTTACACTAAACAAAGTAATTATATTATCAGTCAGAGCAGGGGACTGGTGGGATAGGGATATTGAATAGGACATTCTGAAGTCAAGTGGGGCCTTGGCTGGGCTTGTTGGGGGTCTCTTCTTGGTTATTTAAAAAAATAAATAAAAAACAGTAACCTGTTACCCCAAAAATGACATGTTAGTGTCCTTGGTTTTCATGTGTTCCTTCAAAGTTCTTCATACAGTGGTGCCTCGCTTAACGATGTTAATTCGTTCCAGCGAAGTTGTTGTAGAGCAAAAACGTTGTGAAGCCAAAAAAACCCCATTTAAAACATCATTTTGCGATCACAATTGCGATCGCAAAAACATCGTTGTGAAGCGGATTTGTCGTAATGCGGAGTAATTGTTAAGCGGGGCACGATTGTATAACTGTGGTTAACACTAACCAGATTTGCATATTACCCAGGGTTTTAAGAAAGTTAGGAAGTCATAGTGAAAAGAGAATGGCTCCAATTTCCTGTGGAAATTACCCCGTGGTAGTATTCAACATGGCACTTCATCGTGGTAAAAAAAAAGGCAGCAGTAACTTGTGATGGGCAGGGGGTGATACAAGACGAGGGCCCATGTGATCTGCAGCCCCTTTTGATTTCAGAATCATGAGTAAGGGCATGTCATGGGTTGTGTTGGTGCTGAGAGCATAACACAAGTCTTGCTGTTTGTTGCTAACACAACAAGCCTGACAAAAAGCCAACGGCAAAGATCGTCTTCCTAACAAACTCCCCACAAAGGAATCGGTCGTTTTGTCGTTTTGTTTTTCGAGATTGGCGCTGGACCGTTGCGTCCAGTTCTGCGAATATTAAAAAAGTTAATTAAAAGTTTAAAAGTCAGGTTTTCCCGTTGTTTGGCCGTTCGCAGTGCAGCCCTCCATTTACTTAAGATTTTTATTTTAGCTTGCTGTAAAGATCATGTTTTCTTCTTCTTTTATGAAACACTCTTTGTACTGCGAGGCCAGAAGAATAAACAAGTTGTGTAAGAAGTGATCACTTGAAAGTTATAGTCATGTGGGCTTCGTTTTTTTAAAAAAATATGCTTATGAAATACATACTTTTCTCT